TGCCTTGCAATTAAAAAAAAAAAAAAGTCTTACTGTTCTGAGGCTTCACTGTTAAAAGTTCCAGGCTTTCACAATGCCTTAAAGACCTGAAGTGCTTTATCAGTCTTTTTAAAGATGCGTTCCCCGTGCTCTTTTCGAGTTTCACCTCGGAATCTAGATTTGTTTTTTTCAACTGCAATTAAATAAGGCTTACGGTTGAAAGTTTATTGTAAGCTTTCACGATGCTTTCACTTTGCCAGTCTATTTTAAAGCATCCACATGTGAACAAAAGACACATTTGGGGATCAGGTTGGCGCAGTGGTTACTGTGCTCGCCTTCCACCGCAAATATAACCCGATTTCGAATCCCACCTGGACCAACATGTGGACTGAGTTTTCAGTCCCTGCCTTATTCCGTGGGTTTTCCCCAGATTATCCTAACTGGGGTTTTCCTCCCACCTCTAAAACTGTAATTTCCTCTCATTGTCTCCTCTCTAAACCCAGGTAGGGAATGAAGACAGATGGATCTTATACTGCCAAAGGCATATTGCGCAATATCATATAAAAAAGCACCATGAAGGAAAAAAAACCCTATGAAATCACCCCCCTCCCAGGTACAATAAACATAAAATTCAACAGACAGCATGAGATTCACTGTCACAGGCCAAGCACCATTAACGAAAAAAAAAAGTTTTTTTTTAAAGGAGGTAGACCAAAAAATTATGGTGTTTTTTTTTTTTTTCGTCAAAGTCTCCTGGAAAAAGTTTTGGAAGCAGTTTTGACAATAACCGCCATATCAAATACATCTTGTTTACAATATGTCATTACCCTGGCTGGTTTGGAGTGTTTTACATGTAAAACCTTGTTTTCTGTCCCTCTATCTCCTCTCTCCTGTCAAACTGTCCAACCCCCCCCCCTCCCCCCGCCCATTCCTTCTCGCATCATTCAGTCACGTCAGTCTTGTCTAGTCATACTTTTCTTTTAACATTATTGGTTCCTTTTCAAATCAGTTCTTGTTTACTTTATGATATACATGTATATTTGCTTTGTCATTGTTGGCCGAATAAATAATAATAATAATAATAATCAAAGGGGAAGAAATAAGTTTAATCAATGATTCATAAATACCTAAGACAGTTTACGCATTCCTATTGGTCGACAGCCCGTCACGTAGCCGGTCTTAAACAGATGATAAAGACATGGCTAGCTGGTCTTAAACACTTTTCCAGTGTCACATGAAATTTGGACTCCCATGAAATCTGGTGCCTTTTAACGTTTCATTGGTTGAATTAACGTTCACATTCCTCACGCATGCATGCCCAATGTACTACCAGTGAATCAGTATTTCATTGTCCGAATCGCGAAATTCACACTACACCAGCCCAGCTGCGTTTTGCGCGACATCGCGCAGTACGCGCAAGCCAATGTCCTTATAAGGTAACAAGCTGTGGAGGGGCATTCCATATTATAGTCAGAGGGGTGTTTCGTAAAACATGAAGTAAAAATTGTTGAACACAAAGGTTGGCAATGTCTAGTTTTTGACATGTTTTGATTTTTGGACCAAAAAGATTTTTTTTTGACATAAAAGGTATTTATGAATGGGAATACATGTAAATATGTGTTTGGTCGGTATTAAACACTCTGTTTAAGACCGGTGGGGAGTCTGGATGGACTGGATTGTATAGAGTGCATGCAATCACATTTAGTAGGTCTGCATGTGTATTTACTTTTTAAAAATTCAATACCATTCACTTTTTTACAAAACTTGTATGCATGTTATTGTTTACCCTAAGTTTTTGATTTCCCTCAATTCCATGTTGTAAATAAAGCACGACCTACATGTACATTGACAAAAGTGCCATAATAAACTATTTCATGTTCTATTTGTTGACAAAACTCAACCTACATGTATTTGGTTAAGAGTCTACCTGATTTATGGAAAATGGTGTTCATTAAAACATTTGTAAAAAGGGATCTTGTCTTCAAAACCTGCCCGAAAATTATGCAAAAGCCGCAGTTGAACATAAGAAAAACAAAGACAAGAATTGGAAAGAATAACGAGCGAACAATTAGTGCAAACAATGTTTAGCCATGTTGCATTTAATAGTAAAAATTAGTACCCTACTAAATACAATGCCATGTGCTACTTGCATTGTTTTCATATGTACATGTATGTAATTGTACAATTTTTTTCTGTTTTTAATTTCCACCTGATTCTAAACAAAGCACGACCTATATTTACTGACATGGGAAGTTTTTAATTTACTTTTATGCGGGCTGTGACGACAAACGTTGCTCTATTTGCTTCTGTGTCAAACTAGTGGGGGTTTTTTCCGGACCTTTCATTAAATATGTTAAAGCTACAGTCCATCATTTGCAGCTCTATCCAAAAAGTAATGATTTAATTATTGTTGAAAAGCATAGTTGGTATACAGATAGTAATGGGACTAAACTCCCTGTGAAATTATTCTTTCTGGCAACAGTCATGTTGAAGAAGTCAATGAAAGCAGGCCATTCCAACGGTGCCTCTACAGACGCATTCTTGGAAATTTCCGTTGTATATGTGTACATGTTTGATTGGCTCAAACCATCACATTTGTACAGTCTTTGTACATTTTGGACTGACTCCCCTAATGACTCATTGACTGACTGACTGACTAACTCCCCAGCAGCAGTGCTATCTTGTGGTTCAAGACCAGTAAATAAACTTCCATTGACCCCAAAGATAAATGTTCCCACGTCAGAAATTCGGGAAAAATACTCACAACCCTCCTAGGTGTTCGAGACACACATCAAATTAAAGCTTATTTCATCCTCTTTCATTTTTTTTTCAATTTACCTGGGGTTAACTGATGCTTTTAGGAGAAATTTCCATCCGAAGATGATCACCCCTTAAAATAGTCCTGAAGCCGATCGCCATTTTGAAAAACGATGCCTACACTCCATTGCAAAATAGAGCGCTTTTAGGGCCCCAATTTCATCCAAATTGAACGGAACTACAAGCTCACAGTCCTGTGCACGGCTTCCACCCATATTTTTTACAAACCCTCCAGTTCATGGCCCACAGTGTGCTCAAATACTGAAGATTTTGAGGGCATGCAAATCGTGATTTGGCCGGCGTAGGCAATTTCGGACCAATTTACTGGCCGGCAACCTTTATAGGAATACTGCGTAACACCAATGAATGGGCAATTTGTGTACACCAAATGCGTGAAAAGAAGTTTAAGTGAATAGCGGCACTGAACAAATAGAGTTTTGTGCACTCTGGGACCAGTTCTACTAGGCTTGGCATGTCTTATTTAAAATTGAAGATAGTTTCAAAATCATATCCTAGCATATCGAGCCTGTTGGATACCACTATTTCCGTCTTAAAAAAAGTATGAGCTGCTTCGATCATGTGTTAATTTTTAGGGTAAAAAATAATAGGTTAAATGGCCTGGAAGTGTTTTGCCAAAACAGAATCCTGCTTTTTCCTGAAACTAATTACTCTACTGATATGTGAGTTCCGGTATTTAGTTCCTGGTGATGTTGATGATGAGTTACCTTATTTACGCTTTGGTACACACCTGTACACTGCAGCAATGCATGCAGGGTTTTAGTACAAACCATCAATCAATATCTAGACCATTAACTCTACCATCCGGTTCACTAAAAATAACCTGTTTATTTGGTCTGACCATATTAAATGTTTGCCAGCAATTACATGTGAGGGTGATTTGCATGTTTGTTACACAAGCGTTAAAGGGGCAATACCGTACGGCCAGAAATCCCTGAAAATATTATGTTTTGGATTGTTTACCTATCCTACATAGGTAAACAAAGGTATTTCAAAGGTCTGGCTGAAGGAAAATTCACAATCAGGGGTGTGAGTGACCACTTATAAAAATAGCTGAAAAAAGGTGTGAAGAAGCTGAACTTGGGATATCTCCTATACTTTTGTACACAGCAAGTGAGGGAAAAAGCTGAAAAAAGCTGAAATCCAAAAAAAAAAAGAAGCTGAAATCATCTTAAAAGCTGAGATTTCACACGCCTGGAAATTAACATAATGTCTTACCAGTCCTGAGAAACAAACGGAAAAACCCGGTTGTTTACATCGAACCGGCGGACATTTCTTGGCGTACGCATGCGTATTTCCATTCAATATACATAGGGTATACACATTGTGTATGTGTCACATAATAGTAGGCCAGCCAAATGTGGAAAAGTTCTCTTGAGAATAATTTCACGCCATTTTTTTTCAAATCTTTGAACCATAACAAACAAGATGTGGATGGATGCCATCGTTAATTTTGACCCTAAATATATCTAATTTACATAAATCTTTAATAATTTGGGTGTATCTTTTGTTTTTTTGATTTTTTGAAAATTGTATTTTGGTGATTCTACTTAAAAATCCTTACTTCAATAACAATCTCTAACGCAAATAAGCGACTGAATAATAATGAGGATATAGTAACGATCCAAAATGGCTCCTATTATACCCAAAAGTTGCGAGCATTTTTAATTTGTCCCCAGATATCTGCAAATAGTCTTGCCAAACCACAGTATTGGTGAGCTTTAAACTCACCAAGTTGCTTACTGGCACAGTTATACCCTATTAAAACCTCATGGAAAATCATGTGAACAATGATGATGTTGTGATATTTAGCCCAGCAAACAAAAGCGGGGAAAACGAGGTGTCTGTTAATTGGCCTAATTAGTAAAGGAAATTCCCAAAATTATTGGAAAGAAATTTAATGGATAAGAAAACACTTTGGCACTGACATAATTATTGCAAACAATTGGGTTTTCATCGGGGGGGGGGGGGGGGGGTTCCTTGAACTTATTCAAGTTTCTCACTTATTCAAGTCTCCACTGCTACCAAAATTGGATGGAACACTCTGATTGGATAAGAATCAGGAGGATATGAATATTTATATTACACCTGTGCCTGCATTAACCAATCACCTGTCAGAGTGGAGATAAAAAAATACTTTCCAAATTTATTTTCTTAACCTGAAAATTCAAAAACCTTTGGATTACCTGAATCTCTCGTTCTCTCCAAGGCAGCAAGAGACGGCCAACTTCAGAAAAACTAAGAGCTGCCACATTGCCTGTTGTGAGACGGGCCTGCTTGCCACTGAAACGTATCTGCAAAGATGAAGCGATAAGCCCACGCAATTTAAAATCAGCGATCATCACCCCAGGTCAATTTGGGTAACTGTCTTTTGATCTACACTCTGTTTTTCATCTGATAAACAAACAATTTCTGCAATATTGTTTGCTTTAGGAAAGTGGGTTGGCTAATTTTAGAAAAAAAAGGTGAGATGACCAAAGCAGGGCCCATGCATGCTAGTGGGAAATTTCATTAAGACTTTCGTAGTCTGAAGGCCTACAAACCTATTAAAATGCATTTCAACAGCAAGGGTGCGTGAAATTATGCACCAGCTGTGCTGGCCTGGAGCAAACTTAGGATGCAAACTGGCCAATCCTTGGCTACAATAGAAGATCCATGAGGAAAGAAATGCACCAAATAAAACACACTGTAAATGAGGAGAGTGTGAGGTTAATTAAACTGAGCTCATCAGCACCAATTTGAAATTTGATTAAAGAAAGTTCTCGACTCATTTTTTTTTCTCTCACAATACTATGAACTTTACCAAGGGCGTCTGAAATACTTTTGCAGCCATGAACAAAATCTGCAATGTGGTATGGTGGTTTAAAACCATGAAATCCAATTCCAACCTTAACACACGTTGGTCGTCGATCAGAAAATATCATTAATTGTTTCTGCAACAATCCAAAAAGGGGAATCTTGCCACTTATATTAAGCCAGATTGATAAAAGGACTTGAGCTAGAGTGCTTCAATGAGATCTTCCGTTCTCATTTCGCTCAGCAACATATTCCTGAGATGCCAATTACATGTATTATCTCCCAATGTTCAATGATAAGAACTTACTGAAGGTTATTTCCTTGTGTGAACATCTCTGGCAAAAGGGAACCTACATGCATGTCATGTTACACATTTACACAGAATATGCTACTAGAGGTTGCAAAAAAAATCGCGGCATTTTTTTTCTGGTACCAGAGGGCCAGTTTTAAGTGTCCTTTTTGCACTTATCTCACTAACTGACAGTCGTTTGTGACGGTTTACCCCGTAATTAACCTATTGCGGTAGAATCGCGTTAGAGTCGCGTCAACGCAGCGTGTGAAATATTGTCCAATTACATGATATACAAATAGACGCAGAACGCGCAAAATCTGAGACAAACAAAACTTAGTGTACAAAAACTCCATAGGGTTGTCTAAGGGGCGTGGCTAACTCGCAAACGGTGATAGGTCAATACCAATGAATGGGCTAACTCCAGTCCATTGTATAGACCAGATGCATGAAAAGACTTCCACTGAATATTGTGTGTCCTGGGAGCAGCCTCACTAGGTTTTCCTTGTTGTGTTAATAAGCAAATTGTTTATTCCCAGTGAGCCTGACATATGATGACCTATAATTGGTACAACAATGCATACCAAATCAAATAAAACTGATAATATCAAGGCGACATATGACAAATATTCTATAATTGTAAGTTACGGCCAGTTCATATTTGGCACAAAAGCAGAAGCAAACTAAAATTTGGCAACTGTTTCATGGCAACTGTTTCAACTTTGGAGAATGTTAGCAAATTTCTATGCAAATGGTTGAAATATTATTTGGATGTATGTATGCATGTTGTTTTTTTTTCTTTTCATTACACTAGATGGATGCACAGCACACTGTTTCGCCTCAGGTTCCATGCATCCCTTGGGTGAAAAAGTTCACGTACCGTGGTCCAATTGTCAAGAAACAGCCAAAGATTGTTAATTAAACTACTCAGAAATTACCAGGAGGGTAAATACGTGTATGATTACCTTCAAGGATCGCAACCCACCTGTGTCGATGATGACTCAAGAGGAAATTTGGAAAACAAGGACATGACTTAATAACTTCAGCAAATAGGAACATTTACAAGAGAGTTGAAGAGACTGACCATAAACCACATTGTTTAAGTTACGAAATGCACGCATCATTTACACTGTAAATTAACAACACAAATGCATTGATAATAGTCTGGTGCACAACAAGATTTAACAATTTTTGGGGGGATAACCACGGCAGATAAATGCACACAAGTATAGGGGGGACGTGGTAACCGAATCTGCATTCTGTGTGATTTTTCATTCAATTTTAAAAAGATTGAAACTTTCATTTGCACACACATTGGACATACATGTACAAGACACCTAAAACACTTCGCTGTCCAAACGGTTTTGTTTTTTTAAATGCTACTACAGAACACAACAATCTCTTCAATTTTGCTGGTACCCCGCTATGTTTTTGCACGCATACGATGAAACGTTTATCCCGAAAGCAAAATCGTCAAATCTTGAAGTGCAAATGCGCAGTTGGAACACCTAATTTGTTTATTAAATGCTATCTTTATGTACTAGGGTACTGTAAAATAAGGCAGTGGCAGATGTTGAAGTCCAATTGTTTAAGGGAGGGGATATGGTGGGGATGAGGCATTACAGTCAAGCACACAAAATAAAAGACCTGCACTGATGCAATGAATCAACATTTGCAAGAGTGTGTGATGATGTTATTCAGGAGCTTTTAAAAGGAACTTTGGGATTTGTTCCCACTATGGAAATAATTAAGAAGGGGGAGGCAGGGGCTTGTTAGCCATCCCAACCACCCTTTGAATCTACCCTCATACGCATGCATTGTAGTTGGTAAAGCATCCCAGAAGAAACATCACACTAATTACTAGCTGTGCATCTTACATGCATGTACATGGCCTTTTATGTAATGGAATTTGTTTTAATTTTCATCTCATTGAGAACACCTATTTAACAGTGTATTTTCATCCGTCACACAACATACATACTTTGTACAGCTCCTTAGGCCTTTTCACACTATCGTCTCCCCTACCCGTGTACACTGGTACACCGTTAACAGAACCGGGTCCCATTAAACACGGGCAGGCAAGGGTACCGTTCACACTTACATCGGGTCGGCTATGGACTAATCCAGCGAACAAAATTATCAGCTGAATGCCACCAGGTTTTGTTTTCAAAATTCAGGCCTCCAAAAAGTGAAAACAAGGCTTTCAATGCCATGCATCCCTGGCGTGTAAAAATAACTACATATGCACGTTCCACATCAGAAGTTAACATCTGTTTAATAAACTGATGAGAAGTAATTACAAGTACTAGCAAGGCCAGGACCTTCACGGATGGCAATCCAGCTTGATCTAGAGATCGGGAAAAAAATAAGGGCGTGAACGAACCAAAGGGCTTTCACACTGTCCATATAATCTTTGTGTTTTAAGGAAACCTTTTCTCACCAGTAAGAATCCAACATTGCTCCTATGCAATGGTAATATCCAACCCAGGTCTGACCAGTGTTGAGAGGCTCTCCCCAGGTAGAAAATCCAACATGTAAGCTCAACCTGTGTGCACACTGGTGCACAAATGTAAGTGTGAATAGTATGCCTTGCTGCATGTGGTTGATCTGTAGGACCTGGTTCGGCTTACAGAGAACCCATGTTGATTTCAACACTTGCTGTACGTGAGACGATGGTCTGAAAAAGCTTCATAAGACAGCAACATTAAGGGAGACTATGTCACCCGCAGGCGGGATCTCCTATGGCAACTCCGGTCTCCCTTATCCATGATACAGGCAGCCAGCTCTGCTGAGGTCTCCACCCCAGCAGCTCTCTTTAGGATGACGTAGCTCGTCCTCTGTCCTCCCCTTCGCTTGTTGGCCTCATGAGTCGGTTCCCACAGCACCAGTGGGCTTAGCGGCAGCTTAGGATGCCTGTGGCAGTGTTCTGTATATGATCTTCTGTGAGATCCGCAGTCATGGCAGTAGCTTCCTTGGACATGTGGTCTCTCCTGTAGACGTTGAGCACCATCCTCAACATTCTGGTAAAACTCCCATTGAGGGACTTCTGGAGGGTCAGGTTTAGCGTCCAGCCTTAATAACCCCATAGCAGGATGGACTCCACTGTGGGCCGGAAGAAACTGAGCTTGACATCCTTGGACATGTTTGAGCTCCATAGGGTTTTCATTCCATTTAGAGCCTTCCAGTCAAGGCCTTTCCTTAAAGGAGAGGCCAGGTGGTACACCCTGGCCTCTACTTCAACCTCTGAAACAGTTCATTATTCAATGAAAGAGAAAGCATCATTGACATACATGTACATGTACCGGTACATGTAACTACGGTAGGATGAGCAGCCACACACTCCAAGGAAGCCAAGCTAATCCACTGTTAACCTTTGAGCATCCCCCGAATCACTCCTTTTGCACTTTTAAGTGTAGCTGAACAGTGTTTGCCAGGATTTGCTACAGGTGTGTAAAAGGGAAATGCAATCTTCATTTAAATAACTTAAATGACAATTTTTTTTCTGTATAAATGTTGTCCTTGTATGTGTTAGTTTATAGATCACAGACGGGTGTATCGCGGTGTGGTCAGTGTGTGTGGTCAACCACTGATCGATCATCCTGCTGTTAGCTTGGGGCTGAATAAGTGTGTTGTGTACGTACCGTACATACAATCATTTACAATAAACAGCAGTTTTTACAATACATATTGTGTTTGCTCGCACATGATGTATGCACGTTGCTGTCTACGATGGGAATGAGATACGTCCCAATGTTGGTGGCGTTTTTCTGTCGTCACCCAAAGGGAAAGTTTGTTGATGTCTTTTGAAAGAACCAGTTTCCCTTGGAGTAACGGTCTCTTGGCTTTATCATGAATGTATGTTTTAGTTGCCAAGGTGTTGCGGTTAAAATAATAAAACACATAAATAAAATCTTGAATAAATCTTGAATAACAAGATATAACAAATCAGCAATCATAAGAATGTTAACGTACATGTGTAAAAGCTTCTACCTGTTAGTGTCATTTTATGTTTTTGATGTTATTCAAGATTTTATTTAATGTGTTTCATTATTTTAACCAACATTTCTTATCCAATTCCTACATGTAATCTTAATCAATCTTAACCCCACCCCCCTATTCTCTTGCCAACCTCTTCCCTAGCCCCAACATTACCAAGCCCCCCCCCCCCCCCACCACATTCCCTTGTAATATTTTAAAGTTACGTTTTCTGGTGTTTTTACGTTTACCGATGAGATCATGGCTTTTAATATTTTACTTTGTTGATTTTGTTTTAACTTTAATATCTTAAGATGATTTGATACATCTATGCAACTATTGTAAAATGACCGTAATTCAGCCTTCTGGCTGCCATGTGTCACTGAATAATAACACCAGGATATATATACCAGGAGACCAGGGTATACCATAAACAAGAGATCGTTGCAAAGCGCTGCTGACCAACCCATCATAAAAAAAATGGTCTGCAGAGTGGGAGAATAACGATAATGCCCTCAAAGAACTCCTGTCACCTTCTGAATTAAGTACCAGCTGGCTTCGACCTTCCCAGAAAAAGCTGGTGTTGCCTAAACCGCCTCCTCGCAGGCCACGGGCGTACTGGCCACATGCTACACAAGTGGCATATATGAAGCCAACACCTGAGTGGGGCTGCATGCTGATCAGACAGCGAGGCAGTCAATGAAAACTGGAAGGTGGCATTGTTCGTCTGGCCAGCTGTGACCCGATCGCGACACGGTGGCTGTTGGACATGGACCTTGATATTTGATTTGGTGTTGCATACGAGAGAGAGAGAGAGGGGGGGGGGGGGACAGAGTGCCCAATTTATCAAACCATTTACATGTACAGTACATGTATTTGAAGGTAACATCCATCTTCAAAATGTGCATCTGTGTACATGTTTATCATGTGCAACTCTTTATGGGGTTTCTGCTGGTTCCAGAGAGGGCCAGCCTATACATTGTCCTCCTTTAGTTGTACATTACCTATCTGACTACCTAGCTGACAGATCCACTGTCGTGCACCTTTGAGCTGGGCAGTGCTATTGTATAGGATTACGCCATATGGCCCCTAGCACAAGTAACCAATGGTTAAACTAGAACGGCGAAGCCGCCATGGCTCGCTGTCCAAGGCAGGAAGGGAGGCTGAAGGTAGGGTTGGGGATGGGCATGATGGAAGGGGATCAGGATTCTTGTTGATGTGCCTAGGTGTAGGGGTCAGTTTTTAAATGTCAACATAAAAAGTCAACAGATTACCTAATAAATACATGTGTATATAGGTTAGCCGTCACTGTATTATGGGGGAGTTTTCCATTGTTAGGGTAATTAGGACCCAGTTGTGGATTTTTGCAGCCCCAACAGTGTTTTCTGCTCCCCATACTTGTATTACCATGGGAAAAATCTTGTGTAGTCGCCACAAATGCAGAACAAGAATGGGTATACATGTACATGTAGACACAGCACCATCACCACCTCCCCCAAACCTTACCCCATCCAAAAACCTTACCCCATCCCCAACCCGCCCCCTCCCCCTCCCAACCCCCTACCCACACCCATTCCATCCTCCCCTAACCATCCCCACCCTATCACCTACACATCCCAACCCCACCCAAACTCCAATCCCTATCTCCTTCCCCTCCCCTGACCCAACCCCCTACACCCACCTACCCTATCTTGGGGGAGACCACTCGGAAGATCTCTTGCACATATTGCTGAGGCGTCTGAAGCTCACGTGAAGACATCATGGGTTACATTGTAATTTGTGTAGATTCCGAATAAAATATTGTGCATACAACGAGTAATAAGCGTGCTAAGCAGTACATGCACCCAATCTTCCTCCACTGGCGCTCTCAAAAGTGGCAAAAAAGCACCATCAAAAAAACAACACCTGAGGGGCGTGTAGCACCCTCGGCTTCGCCTCAGGTGCTTATATGCGCCCCTCGGGTGTTAAAAATGCCATATCTCACATCACAGCAGTCAACAACTCTTTTGTCCCATCGCACCAATAAGTCAAAAAGATAAATGTTCTTGACTCACAATTCAAGACATAAATTAAATCACTGCAGTGTAACCTTTTGATTACTGTGAACTTTCCTGCCAGACTGAGACTTGACCTGCATCCGCCTCAGCCTCTGTCTTGCAGTTATCAAAGATTTCACCGCAGTGATTACATTTACTTCTTGCATAGTAGGTTACAAACCTTTATCCTTTTTATTTATTGGCGCAATATAACAAAACAATTGTTGACTGCTGTGATGTGGGATATGTCATTTTAAACCCCTCGGGGCGCATAGCACCCTCAGTTTTACCCTATGCATCCCTTGGGTGTTAAAATCACAGCAGTCAACAATTGTCAATTGTTGACTATTGTGACATGCGTTCTTACACCCTCAAGAATGCATGGCTCCTTCCGCTTCACCCTGGGTACCATAGTCCCTCGGGTGTAAAAAAAATACAAGTGTAAAATGGGAAACTGATAAAACAAATGGAAAACTCACTTGCACTGTGCTCATTCTAAATGGCACCTTCTGTCGCAGGACTCGAACCCCAAAAAGTCCCTCCCCCAACGCTGGGTTCACCACACTGAGTGTATAATCTGTCTCCCCCTCTTCTATCAAGTCTGGCACTCCTTTCTGACTGTATCTCTGCTTTCCAATGCTGGGGGCTGAGGGTGACAATTCCCCGGATGTGCAGGTGTCCGTAGTACAAGACGATGCTACATGGGTGCCTTCCCACGACCGCCTGGCAACTTGGTTGGTGAAGTTGCGTAGTTGGGGGTCGTTGACTGCACCCCCATCATTGGTTTTCCTGCCAATCCAAAAAAAAATTGAAAATTAGTCAGGCTCCCACAATAATATCATATACGTGTATGTTTACAAAGACAAGGCATATAAAAAAGACAAAGGCTCTCGGTGCTAAGCCATTGTATGAAAATGAAGACTTTTCTTTTTCAATCCTGTCAACAAAAGACAGCACCGAGGTATTCCGTTTCATTGCCGATTCAAAATTCATCAATGCAAAATGACTACCAATATAAAACTAGTCACATCATCACAAATTGCTGGTGTTAATCAATTGCCTACACATACCAGTTTTTGCTTGCTATTTTTTTTATTTTAGTAAACACTTCCTTCAAAAAACACAAGTCTGATTAAAAAGTGATCCATGGTTGCGGGCCCCTATACTTCATCCCATCTTACTCTAACACGTAATAGGTTGCATGTATGATTACACCCCTTTCCGCAAGAAACATATATATACTAAATGGGATCATATAATGATTTACAGTTATACTTCTTTCTCTCAAGAGAAAAATAAGTTATACTTCTTTCTCCGCAAGTAACTACATGGGATCATATAACAATTTACAGTTACACTTCTTTCTCTCAAATCTCAAAAATCTCTGTTCCCTTTTATTTTGTTTTAATATAAGCCCGAGCGCCATGGGCGTCCCCAGGATTTTTTGTAGGGGGAGGGGGGCCAAAAGGAACTTTTCCCTAAAAAATCCTTGTACTTTCTCTAGCATATTTTTTTGAGGGTGGGTGGGGGTACATTTACCCACCCCACCCCCATTGACACCCCTGCAGATGCCCATTTTGTTAAATGTGTATTAAATCAATAGCAAATATGACTTCACACTTCTTTTTTTCTTTTTTTTCTGTCTTTTTTTTCGGGGGGGGGGGGGGGGGGGGGGGGGGGGGGGGTTTCCCGGGGGGAGGTGGGGGGGGGGGGGCAAGCGCCGCCCTTGCTCCCCCCCCTCCCCTCGCGACGCCCATGCTGAGTGCCTTATAGAGAGAAATTATTCCCCCTGCAAACCATGCAAAATAAAACACAAAACAAAACCAGCCAGTACAAACCAATATGAACATTCAAATTATGCACACTCCTGATCCTAGCTCCCCCCCCCCCCCGGATTTTTTATTTATTTTTTCAATTTCATGTTTAAGAAACACTGAAACTCATGAGTTTCAAATTGTTTTATTAATTAATTGAAAGGTACAACAGCACATGCACGTATGAATGTAACACGAAGTGAGATCTGACATGTTTGCAGGGAATTTTGAGGTATCATACATGTACATGTACAAGAAAAGTAACAGTGCACATGAATGACACCACTACAGGTATTTACTATTTTAAAACGCTTGAAATACTGCAATTGAAGGAGGACCTGCACATATTCTTGATATCAAAAGCCTCCTTAACATGTACATATAACTTTCATTGTAACCTAACTCAAAAACCTACTTGGTGAACCAGAGTTCTCAGGCCATTCAGTTATTATTTATTATTATTATTTATTAATTTTTTTATGGGGGGAGGGAGACAAGAGTAACACAAGTGTACTGTGTACATGTACTAACACAACCCAATTAGTGTAGTCAGAGGTCCATATATGTAGAAAATAAATTTTATTTTTGATGACGTTCTAGGTGATCAAAATTAGAAAGACAAATACATGCCATCTGCCACAATTGTAAGTAATAGGTTTTCAATAAGCATCATGATCAATAAACATTAATACATGGTGCCTACACACAAAATGCTTCAAACCTTTTTAAGTTGCGAAGGAACGTGCCTAATGCAGAAACTCTGTGGTCAGAATGGCACGAATGCATAGAGTAAATCGATTTGAAAATTGTGTTACAAGAAAATTAGTTCTCAATTAGTCCTAATTAAAATGCCATGAAGAAAAGAAATTCATTAAAAGATTTCAATTAAAAGATTTCAGTTAACGATATCACAGATGTATGTATCTATATGAATTGCAGACTGGTGATATCAGATGCTGTAATGTCACATTTGAATATCAAAACGTACAAAACCCCACATCTTTCTTTAAAATCATCCCACTGTCCATGTAAACTTCGGCTTCGAGTGTAAAACAAATGACAGGTCAAGTCAGCCACATAATTAGTAACCTAATTATTATGGGGTGAGTGCGCAGGTCAGCACAAGTCATACACAAGTCATTCCCAAAATCATTCGCAGGTCATCTAGTCTTGATTCAATTGTCAAATTGTTCCTAAGGATTGAGACATTCCTATATTATTGTTCATCCATATTACTTGTGACGTTATTTGTTGTTTTTTTTTTACTTGTGACTGACTTGTGAAAGACTACAAGTGTGACACGCATACATTTCCTGGCTCAGAAATGCACACATTTATTCCATTCATTGTTCTAAAATACATTTTGTATAGGTCCAGTATAGGTTTTCCCGGCCAATTTCATGAAATGTTCATTCATTAGCTGAAAATCGGGCATTCCTTTTCGTCTGAATTTAAATGCAAGTCTTTAATTCCATTTCAATTCAACAAAAGTTTAATCGTTTTCATTGTCCGTGCATTCGGTTTTGAGAAACAGACGGCCAATTACGTTACCAGTGCATTCATTTACGTAAGCATACCTTTTCTAAATTGATTTCAGGTACAGCTAATTTGATTGACGGTATCAGGTGCCGATGGCATTAAACTAAAACTTAGTAAAAGTGAAACAGAATAGTGAAAGTTTGAAATCGCCCTCTAAAGGGGAAAACGAAGGCTTGTAAACAAACCTGAATGGACATAAATGAAAGGTGGTGCTCAATCACTTAATTGATTGAACTGAAATGGAATCGAATGCTCTGGCAGTGAAGAGAAATTCTCGAATTCAGACGAAAATGAATGGCAGATTTTGAGAAGTACATGAACATTTAAGGAAATTGGCCGGGAAAACCTATAATAAGTTTCACACGCAGTGCTTGTACTGGTCTAGAGAGAGGGGGAGGGGGAGGGGGCATGTCCCCCTCGCCCATTCGCGCAACCCCCCCCCCCCCATTACGCCACTGTTCATAGTTAATCTTGTTACATTACTGATTTTGTCAGTGTTAGGAAAACGAATGCATACTGTTTATGCTCCAATAGAAAGTGTGATTTTGCCTTAACATTTGATGCTACATGTTCTTCTGACAATTAAGGTATTCTACATACCAAGTACTACATGTAGGTTTTAGGTATAATGTAACAAAGCTATTCCGGTTGCAAGAATGTTTCATTCTGAGGATATATGTGTGACTGATCACTGATATTAAGACTGAGCAATACACATTTTAATTGTTATTATTCATAATCTTTTACATCATCACTTTTTTCACATAGCCTAATAAATCATGCATGCAACTGGGAATTTAGAAAAATTATGAAATTCCAAACCACGCAAGTTTTTGTCATGTTCGTACAGTATTTTTCAATTTGCATTCATTAGAAGGAAAAAAAAAACGAGGAAATCAGCGGATCTGAGGAAAAGTGGCATGCCTACTATCAGCAGACCAACATACCCAACACTGACAAATCTGTTATGCATGTACAAAGTACCTCACAGTGAGAAAATAGATTTAAAGTTATGTAGAGTAATATTCAAATGCACAGACCTGAATTGCGTCAGTTTCTAAAGTGGATCTTCAGTGAAATTGAATACAGTGAGCACTGTCGAATAAACAGAATTATAAATTCATTCCCTTTGTGGACCTGGGATCCTTTTCCTCCAATTTTGTTGATTGGTTTGCAAAATCTACTTTAACTTTCACAGATGACATTTCCATAGGTACAAAGGCTGGCCTCGATCTGGTTAGCAAGTAAGCCACAACTGATGAACACTTACCATTCACTGGGGAACAGTAATTGATTGAATGCACAAAAGCCGCAAATACCGGTAAACGCAGAAAAGCCGCAAAAACTGGTAAACATCCATCTACAAGGACACCTGGTTAAGTATTCCTTCTAGTTAAACTGTGACTAGAACCGTTCTTCAGAACATTCATGCTAGCGACCCGACCGACTTTAACTGATCAAATTGTTGAGCTCCGGGGGATTTTGATTGGATCAAATGAACAAGTATCAAATTTTCCATTGGGAGGAGATGTAAATTTTAATATTGGGTTTACCCTTCACCTACTTATACTTTGTCCAACTGATCAAGCCCACCGACCCTGGCAAGTTCTGTGGGTTAAATATCTATAGTCTATACAGGCCAATTTTACGGCGCTGCTAAGCACAAAAATTTGCTTAGCACAAAAAAATTCTGGCTTATAAAAGTAGGTTATCAGCCAAAACTCTGTGTGATTTTCATGCTAAGCAAACAACAGCTGAATACTAATCACAAGCAATATACATCACGTGGAGTTTTGGCTGGTAACCTGCTGTTACAAGCCAGACTTTTTTGTGCTAAGCGAATTTTTGTGCTTAGCAGCGCCGTGAAATTGGCCCTGCAGGTCTTTGGTTCAAGTCCCACCCAAGCAGGATTGCGATTTTTTTTTCTCGCGAGCTCTCCGACAGCAGTAACAGTATGTCCCAAAAAAAAGTGTCTGACTGTTTTCAAGATAACTTAAAAACCATGAGGTCAATTACATGTACACGCATGAACATATTTGGTTGTGCAGATACTCCTAAGCCTCAGCCTCAACCCCTATGAGTTTCGTTTAATTTCAGTCATGCATTGCTGCACAATTGTCAATTGAGCACAACATTTTTGGACACTGTGATCATGGAGCTATAAACACAGCTCCATGCTGTGATCAAGTTCTATGCCTTAATCAATCCTGCTCAGTGAGAAAAGAAGGCTCATGAATGCGGTGTGGGATTGGAATCTTTTGCCCTTGAGCCTTACACTGATGTCTTGCCACGATGACTGATAGCCAGGCAAATGATTCCAATCCCATCTGCAGCCCTTTTCACAACATGATGGATTTTACACAGCTTACTAAAACACAGTTATGAAATTGAATAAGGCAATTGGAACTTGGTTACAAGTGTCCAAAATTGTTGTTG